CCCTTGTTTTTTCTTTTCTTTTCTTTTTTCTTTTTTTCAAGAAACACTGAAAGCCCCTTCTATTCTGAGGGGCGGCAGTCCAGTTGCTTATCACCGGCAAGCATGAGTACAGAAAAACGAAAGGATATAGCAATAGACTCAGCCTTGCCCTTGCGGCTCTAGTCGCCTATTCAAGGGGGGCGCTGCTGCGGACCCTCCCCTGGTGCTCTTCTGCAGGCCGGGAAGCGTACTGGCAACACCTAGTCATACAGCAGAAGGGGCCCGGGGGGTGGGGCAGGGGGCGGGCCTTCCCAGCAGTCTGTCAGGCCACATGTCTCCAGTTCTCCTCATCCCTGCAGATTCTTTTAAGGGGGGGACCTTCCCAGATTCTAATACCATTTGTATCCCCTGGTCCTCGTACCCATTCCATCCCCCGAAAGTTGTTTTCCCCATCTGCCTGCTTCAAAGTTCAAATACTTCTAATCCGTGTCCTAGCGTCTCCTCTCTCCTAGCAAACCCCGTTCCTGCCCCATTCACTGTCTACCCTGCTATGCCATGTCCTTCCCGCCATCAGGAATGTTCCCCAGCTTTTCAAGTTCCCTGTACAAAGTTCTCCTTTTTCTTTTCCCTTCTTTTTCCCTTTTTATTGTCTGATGTGTTTTGGCGAATTTTTACGAACTGCTTGGTGTCATAATGAACAGTGAAAAGAAAAAAGAAAAAAAGAACAGTGGTTTTAGATGAACGGCGTAGTGAAAACAAAATGAATTGGAAGTTTTGTGGAACATATATTTTTTCTAATTTGTTTTGCTGTTTGAAAAGAGCCAAACTTCGAGAGATGGAAGTTGTGTGGAACATTGATTTTTTCAAATTGTTTTGCTGTTCTGAAATGAGGCAAAATTTGAGAATCACTAACATATAAGCCTCCAGTGACCTACGCCATTGCCTTCTTCACCCAAATAGAACACCCGGTCCTTATAGCTGTATTTGTGACATCTTTCAGTCTACGTACAGCTACTATGACCGGGCAATCTATTCGGGTGAAGATGGTAGTGCCTCAGAGCTTGCTGAGTGAGCCCTCTAGCTCGGGAAGCGGTGGGCACTGTGATAGTGTGTAAGATTCAGTAAAAGAGAAATAAAATGGCAGAGCCTGAGCGTCGATGTGATGATTATATCCTATCATTCCTATGGTATGGGCGATGCCCTTTAAACCACCGCTACCTGGATTATATCCAAACTACAGTTGGCTGTGGGGAACCTGTGATGCATCTGACTCACAGAACATACGTGAGGTAAGACTTCCTTTTTTTCTCACTTTTTTCACCTAACAAACAGGTTCTCTTACCCAGGAAAGAGTGATACTACTGTCTTCACCCGAATATGACGCCCGGTCATTATCGCTGTGCTTGGGGCAACTTCCAGTCCAGATGCAGCGATAATGATTGGGCGTTCTATTCGAGTGAAGACGGTAGGTGATGAGAAAATGCTAAAAAAGAAAATGCTAAAACAGGTAAGTGAACATCTCTTACCTAGGAAAGAATGAAACTAGGTGATAAGAGAATGCTAAGTGAACATGAACTCAATATCAACAACACACTCAACAGGCATAATGAAGGCGTAAGCCAGAGACTTGCACTCTTTTTCCCCTTCCTTTTTCAAGGGATTGGGTCCGATGATTGTGATCACGATTGCGCTGACCCCCAGAAGGAGTCATAGATGTCTGAGCTGTGGGATTTGAGCAGGAATGCAGGAAGAAAAGAACCAGACTGTGTTTAAACCACCAGTACCATTCCCAGCTGTTTTGCCAAGACGTGCCGCGTAACGCGCGAGGCCGGCGGGGTTCGGTGGTACCGGATCGAAATGGCTGGCAGCTACACCCAAAATGCGTCCCACGCTGGTTCGTGAGCGCAGGGCGATTTTATGCTCGGTATCTATAGCTGAGAAATGTACTGGTAGGCTTTGGTTGTTTATGAAAAAAAACAAAAAAAAAAAGAGGACACAAATGAGTCAAGAGACTCGCGACTTTCTGACCGATTTTGTGTTGCTGACTGCTTGCAGAACTGTCTCGGACTTTATTTTTATCGTACTTGGCCCTTTTTTGAGGGGGGTGGGGGGAGGGGATCCTGGTACTTGGTTCATGTAACTCAAAAAAAAAAAAAAAAAAGTTAAAAAAACGCCTTTCCCGAGAACAGAACGCATTTTTTTTTGTTACGCTTTTACCACTTCCAAGAGAACAGAGGACAAAGGGTGTTGACAAGGTCTTCTGTTTCTATTACCGTTCTTCTTTTGTTCTCTTTTTGTGTGTGTGTGTGGGTGCGTGTGTGTGTGTGCACGCGCGCACCCGTGTGTGCCTTCCCTGACTGTGGGTGCAGGTTACTGATTCTGTCAGAAATACCTATTCGGGTGTCGTTGGCCATGGCACCGAGCTTGCGCCCGAGAGGTGTCCTGGGCTTCTGGGCAAAGCTAGCTTCCTCCATCAGCAATACAAACAATCTATCTGTGAGTTTACCGGAATCAGTGATCTTTATTAACTTTCATCCTTTTGTTCTTCCTTTATATTAAGTTTATAATTTTTTATTTTATTTTATTTTTTAATATAACAACTTTTACAACTAATTAGTAATTTAGTAATTTTTCATCAGCATGCTAATAATCCTTCCAATATGCACGAGGGGACTTGGTTGCATCCCTTGTCCCTTTTTCTTTTTCTTTTTTAACATGCTATGTGGTTGATGCTTCCCTTATCCTTGATAGGCATTATGTTATTCTTGATATGGCTGAGAACGTACCCCATTTTATGATATCTTGAAGCAAAAGAGAAGAGGATTGAAATTTGAAACAGTTACTTGTGTAGGTTGTGTATGTGTGTGTGTTTTTAGGTTGTTTTTGGTTCTTTATTGGTTCTCCACGTGTGTTGTGTGTGTGGGTGTGTTGTTTTAAAAGGGCTCAGATTCTCTCTCTCATTCCCTTCACTAATCATCACAAGCCATCCATAACGAAAAGGTATAGATAGGCAATATAATAGAAAATGCAAGGTTGGCCACGTTTGTGTGGTTCAGTGCCAAGTGCCCACACACCCGTCTGCCGCCAAAGCGGCACACTTGCACATATACGTATGTGTACATATTTATTTCAAACCATAAGGGGATGGAGGGCAGAAGGCAACTTACCTAAGACAGAAGACTACTCCCGCAAGAAGGCACCGACCCGACCCCCTCAAAGGTCCGAAAAAACTTGGGAAGCTTTCCTCATTGGCCCACAAAACCAAAAACTCATTTACCAAAAACTCATTTACCAAAAAGAATCAAATATAACAGCATTGGCATTCCTGACATTCATCCCAAACTACACACTAGCGGCACTGCCAAAGAGGAGGAAGAAGATAAGAGACAACTAACCTAAGACGGAAGACTCCTCCAGCAAGAACGCACCGACCTCCCCTGCTAAGGGTCCGAAAAACTGGGAAAGCCTTCCACGCCAGCCCACAAAGCATACATTCCCCCCGAAGAGAACTTGTGGCCACCCGTAAATATCCAAACACTCCATGCCGTAAAGCAGGGCAAAGAATTAGGTCATGTATAATCAACAAAACCAACAAAAAAATTCAACTACAAAAAGAGAGAATAGCTCGCTAGTATGACCCCGATCCTAGCTGCTCAAATCTGCCAAGACAGAGAGCTAGCAAGACCGGAGTGTGTGTTGTTTTAAACGACGCCAGATTCTCTCTCTCATTCCCTTCACAAATCATCACAAGTGTGTGAATGTGTGTGCATGTGTGCGCATGTGTATGTGGAGGTACGACACGTCATACCTGTGCGGCTGTGACGAACCATGTCGGCCCACTGTGAGTAAAAGAACAAATCGTGGGAGTGACTGGTACACGGTGCAGCGCAACTGTCGTTTAAGGGTCCGTTTTTAGTGTCGGCAATCGAGGGTCGTACTGCCGAGCCAATCGATCATGTAAATGTAGCAACATGAAACAATTTAGTGGAGGCAACGGGTCCTTTCTCTTCATCCCAGGCAAGATAAAAACGGTAGAAAAAAGAAAATGAGGAAGGAAAAGTGAAAAATCCCTACACTTATAGAAATCGCTATTTGGCGCGCAACATTTGGCTGATCCAGGGCCCCCGCGGCCTATCGGCTGACGGCCCGGATTTCAGCACGATCTTAAGACTTTAAGCCTAAGATCGCGCGGTGATCCAGACCGTCCGCTTTGCCGGACGGCCTGGATCGACGCGCGATCTTAAAGTCTCAAGATCGCGCGGAAATCCGGGCCGTCGGCCCGGTAGGGCCGTGGGCGGCCCGGATCGGCATGCCCGTTGAGAAGAGGGCCGTTGCGGAGTGGCGCCATGGCCCTGTTTGCCCGTTGGGTCGAGGGTTGTCCGACTTTGCGGTCTCTGCCCACCTCCTCCCACGTCCGCGGCCTTTGCCCACCTCTGCCCACGTCCACCCACCTCCGTGCACCTCCGCTCACCCTCCGCCCACCTCCGCTCGCCTCAGCCCGCCTCCGCTTGGCCTCCGCCCACCACCTCCCACCTCCGCCCACCTTCACCCACCTCCATGCACCTCTGCCCACCTCTGCCCGCTGTCTCCGCTTTCTTTCCCACCCGCATCCGCTCACCTCCTTTGCCCATCTCCGATTGCCCTCCACCCACCTCCGCCCACCTCCGCCCGCCTCCGCTCACCTCCACCTGCCTCCACCCACCTCCGCTCACACCTTCGCGCACCTCCGCTCGCCTCCACTCACCTCCGCCCCCGTCTCCTCCCGCCATCTCCTCCCGCCGTCTCCGCTTTCTTTACTACCCGCGCATCCGTTCCTCTGCCAGCACATCCGCCATCCCGCGGTTCATCCCGTTGCCCTCCTCACCTACGGCCTGCCTACCGTAGCAGTCTCTCTCTCTCTCTCTCTCTCTCTCTCTCTCTCTCTCTCTCTCTCTCTCTCTCTCTCTCTCTCTCTCTCTCTCTCTCTGTGGCCCTCTCTCTCCCTCTCCCTCTCTGTCTCTCAGTGCTTGGTACTTTGTGCCTTGCCTATGCGACCTACTGACTAGCCTACGCCCACCTAGGCGACCTAGACGACCTACCTACAGCCTACACGATCCATGCAACCTGCCTACGGCCTGCCTACCGTAATGCTCTCTCTCTCTCTCTCTCTCTCTCTCTCTCTCTCTCTCTCTCTCTCTCTCTCTCTCACACACACACACACACACACACACACACACATATCATCATCATTATCATCATCACACACACGACAGTCTCGCTGACACTGTCTCTTATACACATCTAGATGTGTATAAGAGACAGC